CCCCCCCCCCCCCCCGACGTTCCCACCAACATTCCCCCACCCCCCCCAATACATCTTCCCACCCATTCCCTCTACACCATCTCCTCCTCCTCACGCTGTCTGTCCTACCCCGGCACTCACATAAATTTCAGCCTCGGATTCTCTGGGAAGAATATTACAGACAAAAAGAGTTTTATCATTTCGAGTCGGGATTTTAAAGTCTATAATTTCTGCCCGCGCCAGACTCCCGGTGACAGCAGCCATTATCCCCGCCTCGACCAAATAAGGTGGCCTGTCACTCAGGCCCGTCTCCATGGTGACCGCTGGCTCCTGATTGGTCTTTGGGATAAGCCACGCCCCCTCCCGTTTCTCCGCCCCCTGGTCAGCCTCGAGCTACTGGAGTGACATTTCTTTCATTCATTCATTCATTCATCTACAACCCGAAAGCAGGGTTGGTGCGACCATAAACTAGCTGAACGCTCAGCTCCAAAGCAATTAAATTACCAGCGCTTTCAACAACTTTACATCACAATTATATGACATTATCAGATTGTCCTTGAAACACATCTAGTTCTCAAACTGGAGGAAATCTGCCATCTATGTCCAGTTTGGACTTTATCTGAGTCCAGATTAAGGGCAATGTTAGAAACAAAACACTGAAATTACAGCAAAAACTCAGCAGGCCTGGCAGCATCTGAGGAGAGAAGCAGAATTAAGGTTTTGGGACCAGTGACCCTTTTTCAGAACAATGTTGTTGACCATAAACTGCCCTCTGAAATGGCCTAACAGGCCACTGAGCTGCATTAAAGAGGATAGCTCACTATGAACTTCTGGACAGCAAACAGGGTAAAACAGAACAATGAACATCCAAATCCCATGAATTAATAAGTTATTTGAACATGAAATGTGTGTGCTTCTTTTGGTTCATTACCCATTCTCCTTCATTAGTAGCTTGGTCAGTTTTATAAATATTTAGTGCTTTCAACATTGATTTTGATTTGCATGTTGTCTGCCTCTTCAAGTTTGGATTTATTGCTGCTTTATATTGTGCCCATTAACAAGCTGGGACACCAAAAGGGTGACATGATATTATAATGCTGCAATGTGAAATGACAGGAAAAAAAAACAAAAAGTACCATAAAATGTTCTGTGTCTGGAGTGAGGCCAAACGTAAATTATGGGAACAACACCCAATATTTCACCTTGGGAGCTTACAGCCCAATGGCCTCAATGTTGACTTCACCAGGTTCAACATTCCTCCAACCCCAGCCTTATCCCATGTCCAGTGCTCCCTTCATCCTTGCCTCCCTGACCTGGCCTAACCCATCTTCTTCCGAACCACCTATCCCAATGACTAATCCCACCTACCCATCCCCCAACCCACACCCTCCCACTGTTTACTTCTGGTCTCCCCTCCCCCTGTCCAGTCCTGACAAGGGTTTTGACCCGAAACTTTCCTGCTGTTCGGATGCTGTCTGACCTGCTGTGTTTTTCCAGCTTCACATCTACTGACCATAAAACGTTCACTGCGTTCAGAACACTGATCTGAGAATTTATATTGGATATGCAATGCACAACCAGAGCAATCAGTCCAACCAGTCTATGCTGGCACTAATGCTCCAATTCAGTTTCTCCTGTTAAAGCATTAGCTTTCAATGACTTGTTTTCCAGCTTTCAAGATGTTTCACAATGTCGCTTTGAAATTTCAGTCCTCATTAAGTTAGTTAGCAAATTGATAGAGTTAGAATTTGTTCAGAGAATTTAATTAATTAGATTTGAAAGAAACTATCTTGTCTTTGAAGACACAACAAGCGCAGGTTTTTAAAATGTGCTGCTACATAAGGAGTACAATTTCGAAAAGATTGCTAAAATTATTAATACAAAATGGTATTGTTTCTAGTGGTGAAAATAAGAACTTTTAAAAAGGCAAACTATATCTTGATGCTTTTCTAACATTAGGTGTTAATTGTTGTAGATGTCTTAGTTTGTATCTGCATTTGCTTTAACTGCCCTGCATGTGCTGGAAGGTGGTAAAAATGGAAAGTACTCCATTCATTAGAATGATCACATAGGTGATTGAAAATATCTCAAAAAGGTAGTTTAAAATAAAACTAAAGGCTTGTTGGCAATTCAATGCAGTAATTTATTGCAAAATGCAAGATTATAAATATTTGCTGAGATTTACCAATGAATTTTGGATATCAATTATAATTACAGAAACTATTTCTACAATTTCTACAACTACATATCAGAGATCCCCTATTAATGTAACATATATACTATATAGACATAACTTCTTTGAAAATAATCAACTTTAAGACAGATTCTGTGTAACATTTTGAGTGTCTTTATCGAGTTTTCCTCACTCATTTTGTCTATAACCTTACACTACACAGTACAGTTACTCTCTGCAAAACGTTTGCAATTCATAACTTTCAGGTAGGTTTCAACTTTGTGCATATCCTTCTTAAAACAAGCCAGGAGACCATAGTTTTTCATCAAAGCTTCCTCACTTAAGTTTCCATCGAACCTGTCATAGAAAAATGTCAGCCAGTCAAAACCTTGTGAAGAGCCTCCATCTTCTAGAATCTGGGAAATGATAGAAGAGTTTGGTGTTAAAGCAGTTTTACAAAAAGAGCATTTTTCAGAACAGATAAATAAGATTATGTGTGGGCCTGGCAATGTAACATAGTAAAACAAAATCTTACTGTTTTCATCATATTGGAACAATATTATTCCAGTACATCCTGTGCCATATTATTCAAGTAAAATCATTTGATTCATTGATGAAAATGTGCATTTTTTAGCCATGCTGTACACTTCTTGGAAACATCTTAAGTACGGACCAAAGAGATTACATGAATTCTTTTCATGTATTAGAGCAGCACATGGAAAGTTAGTAAAGAATATTATGAACCCTTGCGATTCAGATAAAAGCTTAAATTTTGTGATTATGGATTTATGAAGCTACCTGAACATGCAATATGCAGTATTACATGTAATATCTTCTAGTCTACCTTTATTGTTATACAAGTAAAGAGGTATCGCAATAATGAATGTGGCTTGCTAAAGCAAATAAATTCATGAGTAGCTTTGAAAACTAGCTCTAGAACTAGACCAGGTTTGTCTAAAAACATAAAATCGGAGGGGAAAAAGTAATTATTTTGTTAAGTTTATTCCTTGTATAGTTACACTGATGGATTCCGTCCAATTCATTTAATCTAGCATGTAAATATCCTAAACCTGTTTTTTTTCCTGCTTTTTTCTCTTCATTTTCTTTATTTCACCCTTAAATTACATGCTTTCTAATCAATTTTCTATAGCTTTTGTTATATTATTTGAAATATTTTATATTTGAATGCTGCACTTATCCTGTTTCATACCCTCGTAATCTATTTAGACAAATTTCAGTCTGTTTTGTAATCAGAATCTAAAAGCTGCTTTGCTTGTGAATGAAATTCATTGCATTGTGTTTGAACATCACATTTGTAAAGCAATCAATCATACATTAATTTTATTGTCACAATATTGAATGCACCAGTCACCTAGTCAGCCAACTTGGTGATGGCCCAAAGCAAGTAATTCTTACTGATAACTTCTGAAGCATTAAATTCCACTGGGAATTACTTATCCCATCCAGTAATTGAACCATAACGCTTTGGAATCCTATTAATTATTTTAATTAACTTTTCTGTTATTAGATCAGTTTTAGTCTAAGGAGTTATTATTGATTATTTCAAGAGCTTTAACATTTCTATATAAATCTTACATAGAGTCATACAGAATGGAAACAGACTCTTCGACCCAACTCATCCATGCCAACCAGGCTTCCTAAACTGAACCAGTCCTATTTGCCTGCATTTGGTCCATATCTTGGCAATCCTTCCCTGTCCATGTACCTGTATAAATGTCTTTTAAATGTTGTAATTGTACCCGCCTCTATCGCTTCCTCTGGCTGTTCAATCCATATATGCACTATCCTCTGCGTGAAAAAGTTGCCCCTCGGGTCTCTTTTAAATCTTTTCCCTCTCACCATTAACCTATGCTCTCTAGTTTTGGATCCCTACCCTGGGGAGAAGACCTTGGCTATGATTTTAGAAATCTCCATACGGTCTCAGCCTCCTAAGCTCCAGGGAAAAAAGTCCCAGACTATCCTAAAAACTCAAACCTTCCAGTTTTATAGAATCCCTACAGTGCAGAAAGAGACCATTTGGCCCATTGAATCTGCACTGACTCTCCAAAGAGCAGCCTACCCAATCTCTGAAACCCCACACACACCCCCACTTATCATGACCAATCCACCTAACCTGCACATCTTTGGACTGCAGGAGAAAACCAGAGCACCCAGAGGAAACCCACATAGACATGGGGTGAGCATGCAAACTCGACGCAGGCAGTTGCCCAAGGCTGGAAGCGAACTCAGATCCCTGGTGCTTTTGATGCAGCAATGCTAACCACTGAGCCACAGGTAAATCCTTTTAACACAATTTTCAGTTTAATAACATCCTTCATGTGGAGGTTTATCAGATATTTGCGTGAAGTATTCATATTTGACCAGCCTGGACAATTAATGTAGTTACATCCTGAATAAAAAGTACTTCAGTAGATTAGAGTGGTACATACTATCTAGTGCTTCTACAATTATATGGGCATCACTATTGGAGTAATTTAAATATCCTTTACCACACCCCTATTACTGGCGAGTTGTTATCTCTTTCACCCAATCAATCATATGCAAAAAAAATGGTGCTTTCTTGCAATTTAAAAACTGGTATTGTTAAACTTACAGTGAATGAGTGTAATAAAAATGAATGCATAAACAAGGTGTGAACTGAAAGCATCAACATTTCATTTTCTATGTTAACTTTTCCCTTGTTGGCAAACATCTTATATTTATTGTACAAATTATTACTGTAGGAGCGACAGTCGTATTGTATGCACCTACCTTCAACAGAGCATAGATACCTTCTTCCAGGTCCTGCAATTTGTCATAGACCCTGTCTGAGGTTCTGAAAGCCCTACTATTCTGAACGGAATCGAACCAGGACCGAATGAGAAGCAGCGAATACAGTAACAGCTCCTTATCCTGTGAGAGAATGGGAACAAGAGTTTTTGTTCCAATCACTTCGATACTGCTTTGTTTCTAACTTTGAAGTTTGGTAGAATATGAACATACAAGCTTTCAGTGGAAAATCTAAATAATCTTTGGTACCATTTGGTTTTGACTATGTGTGTGGGTCAGTTAAGTAGTGGCTTTAACTGTGCAGAGTCACCACTTTCTG